TAGTACTCCATTTTCAGTTTGATCTGGCTCTTGCAAAGGTAAAGCATAGCAGGAGGGTCCAGACACAAACTTGAGTGATACAAGGAACCAACCATTTTCAAAATATTTTTAGCGATACCAAGACGTGTGTGTGTTGAGGGTCTGCTCAGTGATGGAATGTTACCAGTTTAGTTTTTGAGGTATTGAATGTGACAAAAGTCCCCCCCTGCTACATCTTAATTGTTGTGATGAACTTTCCTCTATGGCACTTAGACTGAATTTAATCATAGTACTAGATTGGTGGCAAGGTCTCATCAATTTGAAATGGCTAGATGGAACCATAAGTTCTATGTTAACAGTTTCTTCCTTTGTACTTCTCGCTTGTGGAACTCTCTTCCTGATTCTTACTCCCCAGCCAACATTGATCTTCGAAAACTGAAATGCAATGTCAATTGTTATCTTCTGTTTTAATTCTTATTCTTTTATTGTCCTCCCTCCTTAATAGTATATTTTTATCAAATTCTCTAACAGTCAATAATCTGTTACATCTTCACTGCTTTATTGCCTTGCTTGGGGTGAAATGATTTTACAAAGGAATAGACCTAAATTTCCTTGGGATGATTTTATCTGCCAATGTCATTCTATTAATGTTCCAATTTGAATTTTCAGTCCCATCTAATTTATTCTATTTGTTTTTGACTCTGTTATTCAATTGCCTAAAAATGCTACCAAAGTGGGAAAATTCTGTGTCAATCAATTCCTTAAAATTGTTCCGACATATAGAAACATATATCACATTCTCCCATTCTGGCAAAATACCTCTCTCTTCAACTTGGGTCATTCAGGGGTCTATTTTACTGTACTTTATATATATATATATATATATGGTGGACTCTCCAATGTATTTGACATATGAGTCCCTAGGAACTGACAGCCCAGATACCAGCATACATGATTTTGATTATAGTGGTGAAGGCTTTGTGCAAAATCAACCACACTTTTTGAAGGGCTGAATACAGAGATCTGGTGCAATATGTACCACAAGGTTCCCAAATGATGCTCCGCAGGTTTTGAATTCAGAGTTGTCCTTCTCCTAGACCAATTGCCATCCAAGGCTATAGAACCCAGTCTGTCCTGCTATTTACCCATAGCTAGAGGGAGAAGAGGATTAAAGCCTTTCCCAAGGGCATTAGCATGTAAGTGAATAAATTTCATACTGATCCCTTTATTTTGTCCACCAGGGTACATTGTTCTAGTTCCATGTGCCATACCTCTTCCAGATGTCTCAGTTATTTCTCTTTAACTCAGCTCTCCAAATTTTGGTTCACCACTGCTCTGGCCTGGTAGTGAACTCACAACTCTTTGGTTCTAGTCACTGAATCTAACCAACATCTTTATCCACTGGGTCATGCATCCTTGAGGCATAGTATGTGGAACTAGAACAATCTATGCCAGTGGATGAAATAAAGTGTTCGGTTTGAAATTCCAATCACCTGAAGAAGGCCAGAGTATACAATGGTCAAAATGTTGTAAATATGGCAATGAAGATAAGAATAATTTTTCAAATAATGTAAAAGATACAAGTGACACTTACTGTATTTTTTTACAGTGAGGAGCAGTTTGAGATTTTACCACAAGTTACTGAGTAAATTGCAACCAGCATTAGCATTCACATGTGAAAAGGAAATAAATATAGTCTTGCCTTTTCTTGATGTGTTAGTACACAGGTCAGCCTCAGTTTTTCTGACTTTTGTTTACTGTTAAGCTTATGTTTACTTGATTGCCTAGACATTATCATCTGTCCCAAACAACAACAAATTAGACCTCATTAAGACTTTGGTTAATCAGGCCCTATTCAGATGTCAAGTTTATAACAAAGGTTTTGGTGAAAAATTGCTACTCTCTGGATCTTCTGCAAACAATCTTTAACAAAATCAAGTAATATGGTTCAAAAAAGTCTCCTATCTATTTACAGCTACCATTGATTGGCAAATCGTCCAAAATGTGTATCTTGGCTATTTTATCATCAATCTACAGCCTGTTTTTACTTCCCAGCCAATGCTGAAATCAACCCACAAAAATGTTCTGCTCTCTCACCATCATGCTAGTTTGATGCAGAATATATTGGCAGAACTAATCAAAGGTCAGAGATTAGGATTGATCAGCACATAGCAGCTAAGATCTGTCAAAGGCAATGTGAAAATTTACATATGCTTGTGAATACTTCTGGTTCTGTTATGGCAGAATACTTAATCTGATCTGTTTCACATCTTCCTTCAGAGATTTTCTTTTCACCATAATCACCAAAGTGCATTCAGATTACCATCTGAGAATTCTTGACTGTTTATATCAAGTCTAACCAGCCTTACCGCTGCAATTTTTGAGATCATTTATATTAAGTCTAACCAGCCTTCCTGCTATGATTTACACTGCTGATTTTGGAAGTAATTTTTGTTCTCTTTCTCTTAGTCATTGTGTACATATTTTTGTCTTTGAAGAGCAAGGATCGATAATCAATTAGTCCTTTTTTTTGATTATATTATTTTGATCTATCAGTTTACGGTAACCTTTTGTTCTCCATTTTTTTCTTATCATCACACTTCCACTTCCCACAGATCAATGTGCATACATATCTATGTATCTGTGTATGCAGGTGTAAAAAGGTGTGTAACTGTGTGTGAATGTACATTTGGTTCTAATAGTCTGACAAGTGAAATATCTGTATTTTCTTTTCCACTTCTTGATTTTCTCCCAAAAACAACAAAACCCAAATTGCTAATTAGGAAAAGTTTCTTAATCTTTCCATTCTCACTTCTACTCTGCCAAATCTCGGCATCCTGACAACACCAATTCCTAAAACCTTCCTCCACACTTAACATTTAACCATTCCTGTATTAACAAGCAAATACTGACAGTTGCAGGCAGCTGGATGTTTAACAGCACAGAAAATGGGATTCCATCTGTGGCAGTTTGTGTTATCCTCACAATACTATAGTTGCAAAATTCATTCCATCTATTAGTAAAATTAGAGAGCAAACTGAGCTCTCTAACCTTGATTGTTAACCAATCAAGGATAATGACAACTCTGAATTTACAAACAGAATGTTGTATGAAAAGGTTGCTCTTTCTTCTCCAAGTAACATGCAACAATCAATACCAACCTGTTAGCGAAAATGTAGAGGTAATCTGCTACTAAAAACAGGTAACAGTGTGATTGCAGCAGTCGTATGTTCTACAAACAATGTTGCTGGCTTTGTAGCACAGACTTTATTTTTAAGAATCCCCACAAGAAAAGATCTAAAGGGGTGAGGTCTGGTTAATTTGGAAGATATTCTATAGAACCTCGTCTTCCAATCCATTTGTTTGAACATGAATGAAATCTTACCAATCATACATCATGATGGTAGTGGGGCTCCATTTTGCTGAAAATAAAATTCCTCATCTCCTAAACTTTTCTAATTCTTGCTATGATAGACTGTTCCAGGGTTAGTGTGTATACATTTCTTTTTTATACACCATAGGTAGTCACATCAGCATAAACAAACCTTGTCCAATGAAGTCCTAAGGGACAAAATGCATCACACAAAAACTTTTACCACTTTGTCATGCATCTTTCTTGATATATAAAAATTAATATATCGTCATACCATAACACACACACACATTATATATATATATATATATATATATATATATATATAAAACAGGGAATCTGGTCAGCCTGATAAGACTCCGAGTTGGTTGTATGTGGTGCTGTAAGCGCCAGGAGTTGCATCCTCTTCCACAATGGGCTGTTGAGATACCTTCTACTTAGAGGCAGTGGCGCTGACTATTTATATATGAATGATACTGGACAGGTATTAGCCAATAGTCAGCACGGGTTTGGGACTGGGAGAGCTATATAACATCAAGTAAAATCAAGAAATTCAAGGATTTTACTCATTGCAAAACAAGTCTATAACTGAGATTGATATAATTAAGTTGTATCTTAAAGCAGAGCTAAAATATTTTTGTATAAAAAGATTACTACTGAAATCTGAAGATTCATTGTAATAGCGTATTATTACTTTATAACTTATTATGAAAGGAAAATGCAATCATTATATATATATAAATATATATAATCTCATTATATGCATGATTATTTAGATACACTTTGGAAATTAACAGGCAACCTCCCCAGGAATAAAGAAGAGATACGAGACAGTGGAAAAGTGATTCTACAGATAGATGCTGAGAATACCATTGATTGAACATGTGAGTAATGAGGAAGTTTTAAGCAAAATGGAAACAAAAAAAAATAAAAGGAAATAGATACTAAGAAACGTTACTACCATATCTAACATTATTTGGACACTCAAATCTCTTTGTATATTTGCTATTGTCATCAAATTTTTTTTTATTGATTCCTTATTTTGGTGTAATCCAGGAGAAAAAGAATGGGTCAACTGAAATTTTATAACTACAGGAAATAGACAAAGAACATGGAGACTTACCTTGTTGCAAAAATGTCAGTGAACATACAACTCTGTTTCACTCTTGGCCAATCCTAAGCATGGATATAGGCAAGTAATTGCTGGTCTAATAGACTACTTTCAAGAACATTTTACTCTTGACCCATCATAAGCGTCCAGTTCAGTAGACTGCTTTAAAAACTTAATTTTTCTGCCACAGACTTGTAGTAATTTTGAGTGGAATAAGCCTTATGGCTTTTTGAGACTTTCTATTCCTCCATTTAGGATCTGACTTTCTAAATAATGTTGAATATGGAAATGATTCAAGCTCATCTTATGCACCTGACTGACAAATCAATATAATGAAAATTGATTAGTTTGGTATGGTTCTCTGTCACTGCTTTTCCCTCTTTTTTTTTTTTTTTTTAAAAGGAAGCAACTATACAAAAAAAGGGTTCTATATTTGTTATATTAATGACAGCTCTCAATGTTATAATTGATAAAGACCATAGACCTTCTTATCTTTATTTTTTTTTTCCATCTATTAAAAAACATTTATCAATTTACCTGTAGATTTTTTCTCCTTGTTCATCATAGGAAGACTTAAAGCTCGCACAATTTTCAAACACAATTTCTCTGATGTTGGAAGAAAAGTCAAACAGATGTTCATGTCTCCAAGAAGATCCTGAAATTGGGAAAAAAAAAAAAAAAAAATAATCATTATTATAAAGTAATAAAATTTATTGAGATATTTAAAGTTGCTGGTTACATAATGCTTGTTAATTGATTATAGATTGAGAAATCTTTTATATACTAGGTCCATTCAGGATGTGTGTGATCATCGCTCTCCACAACTTCGTCTTTGGTTGTTTTGACCTATTACTAGCCCATTTTGTTTCTGTTCTGCCAACAAACTTGTTAAGTCAGTTATTTGCTTTTTCTTCCATTTCTCTTGTTCTGTGAGTTAAATTCTCTAAGCCATCTTTTCTCATTATGTGACCCAGAAATTTCAAATGTCACTTGTTATTATCAGTTTCATTTTTACTTCCTATTTTCTTTAAAACATCCTCATTGCTCACATATTCAGTCCCTGGTATTCTCAGTATTCTTTTGTAGAACCACATCCCTTGCACTTTAAGTCTCTTCTTCATCTATGAAGAGATTGCCATATAGGAGATATTGTAGATATATTAGATATTGTAGGCCAGCACAAGATAACAAATTACTGACCAGAAGACGTGTAGGCATTGAATTCTGACAGTGATGGATTGCCTTTGTCTAAGTTTTGGATATAAGACTAAAATGGCATGAGGGCCGCAAGAATTTTGAAGAGTCAACACTTTCTCCACAACCAGATTGCTAAGCGAGGCTAACCTGCACATGGTAGAATGCTAAGCCAATGAGTGTAGATGCATTACACTGAAGATCTAGAATCAATGCTACTACATCTGTCCTCCTCATATGTATATTTAAACAAATATGAAAAAGAAATTGTCCCCTATTGATATAGTTTATGAAGTGGCATTGGGGTCTGGAGGACTAAAACAAGTGTTGACATAAAATGCAACACTATGACATCACTCTTTTCTTTGCTTCTAAATTTCCCTTTGCTTAAGACTTTGCTTCTAAATTTCCTTTTGCTTAAGACTTTGCTTCTAAATTTCCTTTGCTTAAGACTTTGCTTCTAAATTTCCCTTTGCTTAAGACTTTGCTTCTAAATTTCCCTTTGCTTAAGACTTTGCTTCTAAATTTCCCTTTGCTTAAGACTTTGCTTCTAAATTTCCCTTTGCTTAAGACTTTGCTTCTAAATTTCCCTTTGCTTAAGACTTTGCTTCTAAATTTCCCTTTGCTTAAGACTTTGCTTCTAAATTTCCCTTTGCTTAAGACTTTGCTTCTAAATTTCCCTTTGCTTAAGACTTTGCTTAGTTTCTGAAAGATACCTGTTGCTATTAAGTAGAGTTGCAATATCTTTCTAGATGCTATTTTTACATTATCATTCCAGTAGGAGTAAAAAAAAAAAAAATCACAAGATTAGTTCACTCTGTCTTCTGTGAACATTCTTTCTCCTGACTGTATTTATATCTTCAGGAGTTACTTTTATAGAAGACGTATGTGAAAGACTGTAGTATGTGGGGATTACCCCACCTGGCCTGCCAAGATACCTGCTACATGGCACGATTTCAAGATTATAAAAGGATGGGACAATAAACCCTTAATCTCATCTTTTGCAACATCAACATAAGACTTTCTGGTAAAATTTAATTACTTTCAAAATACTAATATACAAATACCATACAAAGTACCAATAAGACTGCAACATTGTTCAATTTGATACTGTACCAATGCAAATAATGAAGTCCTGACTTTACAAATTAGGAGAAACTTGAACAAAATATTGATAAAATGCAAAAGAATCTGCAATATTATTGATCCTGACTTGACACCTCAGCTTCAGTCACTTTCACACCATTATAATGTAGCTTCCCTGTGACTTTTCTATAAATACTTTCATGGCAATTGTTCTGACAAACTTTCCTTTATGGTACCTAGACTTTAAGAATTTAAGCCCAGTACTAGAGTGGTGACAAGGTCTCATCATTTTACAGTTGAAATAGTTAGGTGTAACCATAAGTTCTATGCTAATAACTTTTTTTCTCACACATGGAACTCTCTTCTAGAACTCTCCATGCTTTCCAGCCAACTTTGATCTTCAAAAATTCAAATGCAATTTCAATTGTTATCTACTGTCTTAATTCTTGTTCTCTCCCTGTAATAGTGTTTTTTTTTTTTTTTTTTTTTTTTTATCTCAGTAACCCCTTGTATCTTAGTGGTTTTATTGACTTGCTTGGGGGGTGAAATAATTAAAAAAAATAAAGAAAAATGTGTAAAGAAAAAAAAATGCTTAATTATTTGATCATCAATAAGCAAACAAAAACTGGATTTAAATAAAAAAAAAAAACAAAAACAAAAAAAAACATGTAACTTTCCGTTTGAAAATTATTTCCTGAATAAAATCAATTCAACATCTGGGATAACCAAAGACATATTTTTTATACGTCACCATCTTTGTTGTTTGGATGTGCAGATGCTGTAATGGGTAGAATCGTGGAGTGAGAAATCAGAGCAGAGTTCAAATTCCATTTGGGTTTGTTACATTCACTTATGCCCAAATACCATTGGGAAAGGCATGAATTCAACTCTTCTGCTCCCAGCCATGGGTTAAATAGTATGACTTGTATAAGGAATAAAAAATCATTGTTCTCAAAATATTATTAATGCAACATTCACTTGCAAAAGGTTTCTTACAATCCTAAATTTTTCAGCTTTACATAACTCAGTGGGTTGATAACCCATAAAAAACAAATCAATCAATCTTTGCTGTTTCTGATCAAACTTACCTCCTGTAAGATAATAGACAATTCTTTTTAATCTCCCTGCAATTACAGCAGAAAACATTTGGTGACTTAGCTTTGTAAGCAGACTGTAAAACCACATCCAAGAGATCTTAGCTTAAGTATTATACATAGCAGCAAATGTATCAATGTATAATATCAAAGACACTTCATCGAAGAAATTTAGACGAAAGATGGCAAAATGTTTTATAAAGATTTCCTGTGAATTTTATCAGCAGTTGGTAAATTTTAATCAGATTGTTTTGTAAGTATTGATTTGGGAAAAAATAATAAATACATAATATAGGAAATAAATAGGTAACATAAAAAAATGAAGGACAGTGGATAAAGGCGTTAGTTAGATCCAACGACAGGACCCATAGAGTGTGAGTTCAATACCCAGCTAAGGCAGTGGAGAACTTTCACAGGGAAATTAACAGGAGATAACTGATACTGACATCCATTAAACATGGCACATGGAACTAGAATAGTCTACCCCAGTGAGCGAAATAAAGGGTTCAGTTTGACATTCCAACCACCTGAAGAAGGCCGGAGTGTACAATGGCCGAAACGTTGTAATAAATATGGTGACAAAGATGAGGACAATAGTCCGAATAATGTAAATAATACCTCATCTCAGAAATATAGACAAGTAATAAAAAATGAAGATAAATATTTTAATAGACATTTAGAAGAATCAGTAATATTATTGGTCCTGGGCTGGTATCTCAGCTTCAGTTACTTTCCCAAAGTTGCCTCCCTGTGCCTTTTCTATAAATAATGGCAACTGTTCAGATGAACTCTTCACCATGATATATAGACTTTATGAATTTAAGTGCAGTACTAGACTGACAATGGGGTTTCATCAATTTACAGGTTTCTTCTCTTGCACTTCACGATTGTGGAACTTTCTTCCGGCTTCATTCTTTCCAGTCGGCTTTAATCTTCAATAATTTAAATACAATGTCAATTGCTATCTACTGTCTTCCAGATAACTTGTGGGAATCACTTTGACTTACATGTGCCACACCTCCGTTTTCTTTATTGTCATTGGGTAATAAATACATGATACTTATTATAGGACAATTTAACCATCGCAAGTAATTCAAAATTTTCTCTAAAATCACGGATTGGTCCATTTCCTGACCAATCGCGTATTTTAGTATCTCTTCTATATTTTGGCGCCAAGCCATCCGGAGCCTAAAACTTATTATATAAAGACTCTCGCTGTTTGCCAACACAGTAGCAGTTCAATTCTTGGAAAATAAGGCACGGCGCTATATTGACATTTTAATTCTTAATTATCACTCAATCGAGTAATCATACTAATTCATATTGATATCACTCATGAACATTACATTTTTCTACACTGATAAAACACTGTGGAACTATTCTTTATTTAGCTAAGATTTAATTGAACTTTGTAGTTAAATTACATTCAATTTTGTACTCAACATTTATTAGCTAAACTTACCCTTTTTATTACGGAAAAAGGGGAACAACTTTCTTTATACTATTGTTGATATTTGTATATCATTGTTAATACAATATTTTATTAATGTTCACTGAGCTTGATTATTTTTCTCTCATGTTTGTTGTGCATTATTCATGTGGGGGTGTTGTTTTACAAGAACACAGCCTTCCTTCCTTTATTATATTCACGGTGACCCTAGCCAAAAATACTTACAGCATCACTACAGTTTCTTCTTTTGTTCGTGTTCCTTAGTAAAGTTTCTGTTTTCTAATACTTCCATGCTCAGTAACCTCTTGTGTCTTAGTGGCTTTATTGTCTTCCTTGGGGTAAAATCAATAAAAAAAAAAAAAAAAGCAACCACAAAATCAGAAACATAAAAGGATTGTACAGTGGTTAATAAGGCATAACAAAATAAAATTTCAGAGCATTTCAAATAAATTAAAAAAATATATATATATATATATATATATATCAAGTTTTGTTTTTCTTTTTAAATGATTTCAGCACAAATTACCCTAATCTAGGTCAAGTTGTTCATGGCTCCAGAATCAGATTGGATTAACATTGTCATGGGATTATTTGGGTCACATGATAAGATTACACAGTAGCAACTCAAGCAACCACTTCTGACACAGTTTATATACCTACCGCTAAAGTACAATTGAGTGAAACACAAACAAATAGTCAACAAGTATACAAATCTTTGAACAACATTTGGCGATATCTGAAAATTGAAAGTCAGATTTCAAAACTTCCACCTGTATTTGAATATACAGGGTGTCTCAAAAAAAAAAAAAATTCATACACATTTTGAAGCTT